AGGGAAGCCTGCTTCTCCCTCTCCCACTCCCCCTGCTTGTGTTCCCTCTCTCGCTGTGTCTCTCTCTGTCAAATAAATAAATAAAATCTTTTAAAAAAAGAAAAAAAAGTCCTTGTATATAGCAAAACATTCAAATGAAACAAAAAGAATCTTATATTTAATAAACAAGAATCTTATATTTAAGACCTCCATGTCCCCAGTTGTCCCAAGAATCCTCACTAGTTTGTTTCTTGTGGATTCTTTCAGAAATAGTGTATTTGTTGGTGTATGTGTGTAGGTATATAAGCGTGTATGTTGTAACTGCTAAGCTTTTATACTAAAACCTATGAACCAGATATGTTGAAGTAAATCATGACTTGAATGATAATAGTTAAGTTCTAAATATATAACAAAAAAAACTATACTCTGAATATATATTGTAATAGAAATCACTTACTGCATGTATTATAAAATGTACATAAATAGACAATTACAGGTGCACTTTTAAATATATGTATGATATTAACCATGCTCTTAAAACTATGACATAAACCTATGTAATTGTAATATAAGATGGTTGTAATTTAGTTACCTTACTCTCTAGAGTTGCTTAGTTATATGTGAGAGACAATTAACTTTAGGAATTAGATGCAAAGGTCCTCATAGATTAATATTTTCTTTGAAGTTTCTCTGTACTTCCAAATTTCTTTCTCACTACTGGTAAAATTTACAAGTTACATAACATTAAAGAATAGGGCAGTATTTTGAAAAAGTGTTAGATTTTGCTGTAATAATCAACTATGTTTTGAAAATTTGAAGAGGATAATGTGTTATCAATGTGTCTTGAATTGTTTCCTGCATAAATACAAAGCTATGAAAAGTAGCTCTTAATCAGCCTAAAAAAGGCTTTGAGCATTTTATGCATTTTTAAAAGAAAAGCCGCTAATTCCTTTTTTATGTTTTTGTTTAATTTTAGGTTTTAGTATAAAAGCAGTGCCATTCCAGAATGCCATCTTGAATGTAAAGGAACTTGGAGGTATAACATTTAAAATCCTTTCTGTGTCTGGCTTAAATTTGTGCTAATTCGGTATTAATGTTAAATGTAATTAAAAAATTGTTATTCTAGCAGGTGACTCATTTTTACCTTTTCCCTTGGTAATAGAGATACGTCTTTCTCTTTATATATGTTTTAAAGGTTGTTGAAGAGTTCTAAGTAATAAACTTTTTTTCTTTTAATTAGAGAACCATGCTAGTGGTTGTTTCATACACTACATATTCTTTGGTTTTATTTGTTCAAAACATTTATTCCTGATCAAAAAGTATGAAGAAAATTTTAACATAACAGAAAGATAAGCCATACATTATGCAGGGCAACGAACTATATTTTAGAGTAGTTTGTATTCATCCTCCAGGTTTTACCATATTCGATCTTTTTAGAATGTATTTGTTCCGATAATAAATCTTTGCCAGCGGGTTCTTTGCTGGCCAGGCACATTTATTGGTTAGGCTGTACCCCAAACTATACATCACTCAGTCTTTCGTTACACCCTCTGTCTGGGATTTTTTGGTTGTGCTTTATGTCCGTCAGGGTCTTAACCCATGTAAATAGGTTAACAAAGAAATCAGTCAATTCAGTGAACCTACTAAATTCTCTAATAGCACAGGCAAATGGTAAGTGCTCTGAAGTTCAGGATCATATTGGTGAGTTTAATGACTTAGAAGAAAGTTCTCTTCCATCTCTTTAATCACTTTGTGATATTGACCTTCCCCCCCCCTCTTTTTTCCTAAGTTCATTCTAACTGACCTATTTTTAACTTGATGCAATTGAAACACAAACTTTATTCCATTTTAATAGTGTTTGATGCCACCTTATTTTTATCTCCCTAATGTATTAGCTCATTTTCTCAGGTGTTTTAAAGAGCTGTATCTAGGACAGGTTTACTTCTGCCAGTCTTTTTGTATAGCTCCCTTTGACTTTCATAGCATTAATATTTAAATCAACCGTGGCTGATAAATTCTGGTTTATCCTTTAAGGCATTTGATTTTGTCATATGACTACAAAAATTCTAAAGCATGAGTGTTTTTAGCATGGAATCATTCTTCTACATAAAAATTTTTAAAAGACTGCTCTTTTAGGTTGAATATTTTAATATTACTTTGTGGTTTCTAGTGACTCTGCTTCTCAGTGACCAGAGAATTATAGTCAGAGGATATATTGTAAAAGTCCATGGGAACAAAATATATGGTTTGAGAATTTTATTGGTTTTAAGTGTGGTTGATACTTCATTAAGGATTTTATTACTAGGCTAGACACAAAACTTTTATTGAACCCCCTCCAGGTGTAAGAAACTGTTGATTAATTGATAAAGGCGTTTATTATGGATGTTAGTTGGATGATACAGATAGTGAATGTGTCTGGACAATTGACGTGAACACTTTAGGGAATTTTTGTAGCCTGGACTCCGTGCCACTGTAACACTGAAATTCAATACGATAAAAGAAAAATTAGAGGACAGGGGTGTATAAGGTGGGAATCTGTCTGTTCCCAGGCAAGGTTTAATTTTGCTGAAAAACCTCTGCCCTAACAATTGCAGTAATGGACATTGCAGTAATGGACATTGCAATGAAGAGAAAACCATAGAGCTTGGTGCAACGTTTTAGTTCGTGTGATGGTTATTCTGTGATAGTTTGAGATATAGGTAAAAGGTAAAACTTCCAGGACAACAGGTCCAGGTACATGAGTTCCAGGCTAATGAGGATGTGTTTGGCATGCAGTATTCTACCCCCTCAATTTTAGTCGTTCTATTTTCAGTCAAGAGACTGTTTCAAGGAGAAAGTGATTTTTCTGAGTAGAATCTAATTGTGCCTTCACTAAGTTCTTTATTTAAAAATATTTTTTTGAGGGTTGTGTGAATCCAGGGAAAAATCTTGAAATCAAGGGAGAAATTCAAGAAGATAGATGGCAGAAATAGCAATACTGAGTGCCACAACGTCACTGACTTAGGGAATGCTAATAGCTCTGCTTACCGTAGGGGTAATTCAAGAGATTGGCATGACCCCTGCTCCTCCCTGCCAGGAGGAGTACCACTCTCAGATGGTTCTAAGGCTCTCCATCATCCCGCTTTCAGCCTTAAGTTTCTCACTTGTTCAAAATAGGAAGAGGCATGACCTTGTGTTCCTTATCTAGTAAGAAATGGAATGAAATGAATTAACAGTGACCAGTGGAGTTAAATGGAAGTCACTTTTGGGAGATCTTAGTAAGAAACTTTGTTTATATATATAACTTATATATAACCTGTATGTATAGCATATACATATATAGTTCTATGTTCTCATCAGCTTTCTCTTAGGAGAGTGTTTCCTACATCTTTCACCTAAAAACTCTTAAAATTTTCACTCACATTTTTCTCGTGTGGTCTTTTCCTACCATTCATGCAATCATTCTAGCACAGTTGTATATCAAGCATGATTCTAGGAGTTGAGAATGAAAGATATTTAAAATACATCCCTGTCTTCAAGAAACTCATGATTTGATTATGGAGACATTCATGAAAACAAATATTTGAAAGGAATGAAATTTTTTTGAAAATGAAATTGTGTGTTGGGGGGGTAAGTTCAAGGTAAGAGGTGACACAAATATAGACATAATCAGCCCAGCCTGGTGGTATATGGACAACCTCCATTTTCACTGTTTTGAGAATGACTTGCTTTCCTCGAGTTAGCTCTCACACCCACCAGGCTGCACTGATGATGCCTATATTTATGTGAAATTGAAATTCTAAATGCTTTTTGTAATTTTTTGCTTATTCCCATTTCCCTCCAGTGAAGTTCTCATTTCACTTTTGCAGCTTCATGCCTAATGAGTAGGTGCTAGGACTGTCTCACGGATAATGAGACATAGGACAGCCAGGCACAGAGACTGAGGGACTTGATCAAGGTTATTTGGAGGAGGTGGATGTCCATCTGAAGCACTTAACCAGTTACTCTCTACATGGCACATTTTATCCCGTGCCTGGAACAAGAGAAGTGCTTCCACGTGTTACCTGCTGCTGCTTCTATCATTGATTTTCTGACTCTCAAGTCCAACTCTTGTACGCCTCGGGTTCTGACTCTCAGTGCTAGAGTCCTGCTTCCCTTCCCATCTCTTCAAGACTGGCTTCTGAATCAGTCACAGTCTCAACCTTCCAGTCTATCTCGAGGCTTATACAAACACATCATTTTCATATTTTTATTCTTTTTATTTCATTTATTCAACAGATATTTATTAAGTACATATTGGTATGCCCAGGCTGAGTTCTAGAAAGTGGCAGTTACAGTGGCAAAAGAGGCACAGTCCTTGCATGGACGAGCTATTGGACACAAGGGAAGACTCTTGTGTACTTCTCTCCTTGAGTAAAGCCAAATATTGCTATTTACAGGCCTAGAACGAATTCCTGGGTTAATCCCCTCAGTACTTGAAGGGATTTTTAATACCATCCAGCACGGCTGTTCTGATCTCTACAAAGGACGTTCTGTAGTATTGCTCAGTGGATTTGTTTTTCTTGTAAATTCTTTCATTTGGGAGGTTTTTGTTGAAACTAATCTAAATCCTTTTTTAGTTTTAATTAATTACTCTGCTTGTCTTGTGCTCTTTATTATTCTGGATGTTGTGCAAGACACCTAGCAGGATCCTGAAAAGACAGAAAGATGAATCTTTCAGCAAATTTCCCTTCTTCCTATTAGAGGAAGCCCAGCCATTCTGTAGGATTCTAGGCGAGTCCATTTTCCTGTATCTCTGCTTCCTTTTCTGTAAAACGTAGTAATAATAGTTCCTGCATTATGTACAACCGTTTGTGAAGACTATATTAACGTAAGTCAGCTACTTAGAAATCGCCTGGCCCATAGCTAACAGTTTTGGAAGATTTATATTATAATACACCCTTCCCCTCCCTCACCCCCACCCCCTCAAAAAAACACCTTTCAATAAAGCTTTGTCCCCAAAGGCTCGAGAAATAACCCAAATCACACATTGATTGCTTTTCTCTTTGTGGTCATGCCTTGCTCCCTTGTGGACAAGATGATCTTCCTTTTTTTTTTTTAATTTCTATTTTTAATTCGTTACACCTGTTTAAACTGAAAAGTCACAGGGAAGGGACCTCCTCAGAGTCTTTGGGTTAGCAGCCTCACAGTTTTTGGCAGTACACACGTGTTAATATTAAATGTTTTTGTCCCATCTACCTTATCACTTTTCCCTTTGGTTTCAGTTTCCACCTGAAAAATCTCTTCTATCATGTCTCTTAATTGCTTTCATTCTGTTTGGCTTTATGTATTGTAACCACATTACTAAGGTGAATGAAGCATCTGGCATTTAGTTGAGTTGAAAGCACCAGTGCCGATTCAGTGATCTTACAGCTCTGGTAATTTTTCCTTTTAGAAATTTCCAGTTCTTAAATCTACAGATGCACTTGGAGATATTTTTCTCTTGATTTTGAAATTGCATTTGCACACTGATAGAGCCCAAAGAGGAAATTTTTCATTTCTTAACACATTTGGTTTGTTACCATGAATTGATGAGGATCCAGACATCATAATATTCCGTTTTCTTTCCCTGACTGAATTCTGGAATCACAATTGGTTTTGTCAAATGACTTGTTTTCTCCTTCTGATAGTCTAATGAGTTATGTCTGAGTCGTTTCCCCACCCAGTAAACTCTTTGGCAGTCTTGTCTTCCCCGTTGATACTCGGAAAGGCAAAAGCTAAAAAGCAGTAAGCTGTCTTTTACGCTTCAGTATTTGCTGCTAGTTGTCAATCAGAAAGAAAGTTCATGAAGATTTTTGTTTGCACTTTATTTTTTTCCTCTAAAGACAAGACAACTTTTTTCTTCAGAAGGTGGTGAGGGTTGTGTGGAAAAGTGCAAGTTGTGTTCACTTACCCATTTACTTCAGCCCATGCAATAGTGATTGAATGATTTTTAAGGATTGTCAGCTAAGCCATTTTTTTTTTTTTTTAAAGGTTGCTTCTTTCAGCAGCCAAGCTGTTATATGAAACAGATGTTGA